AAAGAAAGAAAGAAAGAAAGAAAGAAAGAAAGAAAGAAAGAAAGAAAGAAAGAAAGAAAGAAAGAAAGAAAGAAAGAAAGAAAGAAAGAGGCTTCTTGTTCCTCGTGGCCTGGAGCTGCTGGGAGCAGGGGGTGGGGCTTGTTGCATGTGCCCGCCCCCTGGGCTCTTTACTGCCGGAGCTCTGCTCTTGTGCACTCCTGCATGAAATGACCACAGGTAGCCATCGTGGTCTGCGGTAGAACTAGATCTGATATTTTATTAGAGCATGCTAGAACTCTATATTTCTTCTATTATTACCACTAAATAATTAGTGACCTTAGGTTTTGAAATAGTTATTACATTCAACATTGCTGGTAACGTACTTTGTTCTGAAGCTTTTTCAACACTTTGCTGTATAGTGGCTAGCTCTGTTTTTATCTTGTATACCAAACTGATGACGAATGTATTGCTAAATTGCGATCTGTTAGTATGCTTTCGTACCCTGTTGTTGTATAACTCTACTATTAACAAAGAAACAAAGTACAAAAAGGAAAAAAAAGGGGGGGGGATCTAGATCTGAGTCCAGTAGCCCCTCAAGAGACCAAGAAGATTTTTGGGCTACCCGAAGAAAAGAGATTCGACTCAAGGAAGATGAGGATTGCTAAATTCAGGAAGGCAATGGTAAACCACCTCTGCTTAGGCAGGGATCCTGGCTCAGTGGGAGAGCATCAGCTTGGCATGGCAGGAAGGCCACAGGTTCAATCCCCGGCATCTCCCATTGAAAATGGGTCAATTAAAAAAGAAAACACTAGGAAGAGCTGAAGGTAGACGGAAAAAGAGGAAGTCCCAACGTGAGATGGCTTGACTCAATAAAGCAAGCCACAGTGGCCCTCAGTCTGCAAGACCTGAGCAAGGCTGTTAATCAGGGCTATTTTGGGGCAGGAACGCGCAGGAACGGAGTTCCGGCTGGCTCCCAAGTTGGCCACACACAGCAGGAACTCATTAGCATAATAGGCCACACCCAACAGCAGACACTCATTAGGATTGGCTACATTAGGGATGTGTGGCCTAACATGCAAAGGAGTTCCTGCTACAAAAATAGGCCCTGGGTTTTGATAACAAACAAGGTAAACAGAATAAGAAGCAAAAGGTGGGTGTGGCTGGATGATCACACTTCCGATAACACAGGGGTGTGGCCTACACTGGGGGTGCTGGGGAATAATGCTAGGAGAAGTTGAAGACAGCAGGAACAGAGGAAGATCCAACATGAGATGGATTGATTCCATCAAGGGAGCTAAGGCCCTCAGTTTGCAAGACCTGAGCAAAGCTGTTAATGATAGGACATTCTGGAGGATATTAATTCATTGGGTCACCATAAGTCAGAAGTGCCCTGCTGGATCAGACCAGCAGCTTTATCATCCAGCCTCCTGTCTCACACAGCGGCCAACCAGTTCCTCTGGAGGGCCAGCAACGGGGCACAGAGGCTGAGGCCTTCCCCTGAGGTTACCTCCTGGCTCTCAGCTATAGAGAATTAGTGCCTCTGAATGTGGAGGTTCCCCTTAACCACCATGGCTAATGGCCGTTTATAGACTTATCCTCCATGAATCTATCTTTTAAAGCTGTCGATTTGTGTAGCCATCACGACTTCCTCTGTGTTGGAATTTCAAGTTGCTTACACTTCAGTCATTACAGAGTTAAATGTTGTTTGTTAGGAAACAGGATGTTATGTTACATAATGTATTCAAGGGCGTGAATGTTTGTGGGAGTTGTTTATCCTAATGAAGTGAAATGCTTTGATCTAGCATTAATGTATTCACAAGGTTCATGGCCCTTTGTTTGAACCAGAGAGGAAGTTCTCTTCTAGAAGCCAAGACAGTTAGAAAGATGTAGCTGTTAGCATATAGTACTGAAAGTAACTGCAAGTATGTAACCTTTTATTTTATTTATTTTATCCAAAGTGCCTTACCCATGTTTTATTTTGTTTTGTAGTAAAGATATTTTTCTTTGACTAAGTGTGTGCTCTTGTGTTTGCAATACGACCATCAACCCTGAATCAAAGAATCCCAACATAATGGTAGCAGAGGATGGTTTATTTGCAACACAAAAGAAGCACCAAGGTCCCGTTCACACGAGGGGATTTGGGCCGGGAGCGGGACGGTTCGGGGGCGGAGCAAATGCCCGCGATCACACCACAACATCTGGGAAGCGTAGTGCTTCCGTCCCCGAACTGGCCCTTCCGCGCGACAACCCGCATCAAGTTGGAACCACCTACCGAGGTGGTTCATCTCAAAGGTGCGTCGCAAACCGGGAGTCTGATCGCCGGCGCGTCCTTTCGCCGGCGCGTCCCCAGCTCCTAGCCGAACTGTGCATGCTCCGACATGCGCAGTTCGGCTGGCTCGCCGTCAGATCTGTGTTTTCTCCCCGGCGTCTGATCGTGCCGGGGAGAAAAGGTGGCGCGGCCAGGGGATCCGTGGGATCCCGCCGCGCCGTTTCAACTTTGGCGCAGCTTTTAAAAGCCACACTTTTTGGCGGCTTTTCCTCTGCCGTGTGGCAGGGGCCAATGTTTTCTTGAACTGAGTTAGAAGAGGCAGAGAGAGTTCTTTTGAAGTTTTTGGCTACGAGATTTTGGTTTGCCGGACCTGCAAAGACGCTCCGTTCTAATCTACAAAGCCAACAGAGATTTTGAATCCCTGCATTTACCGAAGCTGACACGCTTATCCAAAGTGTGATAAACCCATGTTTTATTTTGTTTTGTAGTAAATATATTTTTCTTTTACTAAGTGTGTGCTCTTGTGTTTGCAATACGACCATCAACCCTGAATCAAAGAATCCCAACATAATGGTAGCAGAGGATGGTTTATTTGCAACACAAAAGAAGCACAATGTTTTCTTGAACTGAGTTAGAAGAGGCAGAGAGAGTTCTTTTGAAGTTAGAGTTTTTGGCTACAAGATTTTGGTTTGCCGGACCTGCAAAGATGCTCCGTTCTAATCTACAAAGCCAACAGAGATTTTGAATCCCTGCATTTACCGAAGCTGACACGCTTATCCAAAGTGCCTTACCCATGTTTTATTTTGTTTTGTAGTAAAGATATTTTTCTTTTACTAAGTGTGTGCTCTTGTGTTTGCAATACGACCATCAACCCTGAATCAAAGAATCCCAACACTCTGGCAGCGAATTCCACATTTTCACCACTCTTAGACTTTGTATAAAGTAGTCTTTCCTTTCGTCTGTCCTGCATCTACTGCCCATCAGCTTCATTGGGTGCCCTCGAGATCTAGTCTTCTAGGAGAGGGAGGGAAAGTTCCCTTTGTCCACTCTCTCCATCCCACGCATAATTATGTCCGCCTCTATTGTGTCCCCTCCTAAGTTGTCTCTTTTCTTAAGTGAAAAGTCCCAGACTCTTCAGCCCTTCCTCGTGGGGAAGGGTCTCTCCCCACCTCATCATCTTGATTGCCTTCCGGTGTACTTTTCTGAGATCTGCAATGTCCTTTTTTAGATACGGGGGCCAGAACTGTACACAGGATTCTAAATGAGGCTGCACCATAGATCTGTACAGGGGCATTTAGTACAAACACATTAGCAGGGGAAGGGGAAAACCACTGCCTGAAACTCCGGGGAGCCTCTGACCTTGGTGGACCAATACCAACCTTGGTGGACCAACGATCTGATTCAGTATAAGGTAGCTTTTTTAACCCATCGGCCACACTCTGAACCAGCATGCCGTCAAATGAGTGATAACTGTCCAAGGTCCCGATCAGATGGGTCTTTAGATCCAACCCAGGCACGAGTGCCTGGCAGATTTAAAGGGAACGATCAGACAGCGACATCTGGGAAAGGTGCCGCTTCCATGGTCAGCCCGGTCAGCCCCGAGCCCAGACCATCCCAGACGGCTACCATTTTAAAAAATTTTTTAGCAATATGCGCATAAATGCATAAACGTGCGACAGCCGCAGAGCTCCGCTCAAACGTTCCGGATAATTTCATGTTTCTGAATAGCCCGTGAAATTTATGAACTGCGTCAAATAAATGAAATGGTACCTAGAGGGAGGTACCACTGGCGGTGCTTTAACCATTCAATTCCACACATGCGCGGAAAAACAAGTGCATGTTGAGGCACAGATGCACATGTGCAAACAGTTGGGTTTTTTTTAAACCCCGCCTGTGCAGCTCCTTCATGCGGATGTCGTCTAGACAATCCACTGCAGAGTCCGCACGCTGTAAGGGGATTCACTGGGGAGCTGTTTGGTCGTGCAACACCGGAGTAAAAAGATCGGGATCAAATTAGAGCCGGGCCAATGGCGGGATTAGCTGCCCGTCTGAACGCAGCCCAAGACATCTCTGGAGGTGGTTTGCTGGAGCAGAAAGGAAAATTTCTGATGCCTGCAGAAACTTTGAACACATCAACACATGAAGCTGTCTCATACGGAACCAGACCATCAGTCCATCAAAGTCAATATTGTCTACTCAGACCGGCAGCGGCTCTCCAGGGTCTTGGGCAGAGGTCTTTCATGTCACCTTCAGCCTAGTTCTTTTTTCAACCGGAGATTCCAGGAATTGAAGCCGGGACTTTCTGCATGCCAAACAGATGCTCTACCACTAAGCAGAAGGAAACAAACTGGTTGCTGTTTCAGCATGGGGTGGAGGCATTAAGGGAGGGGCAACTCTGTCCTTCCTGTAGTTTTCATACCAGACCCAAGCCTCTAGAATCAAATCAGGCATACCTTGCTTGTCTCCGGTCAACACCCACACTTTCATGCCCCCCCTTTTGAGGAGGTGGATGGTCTCTGGGACTCCCTCTTGGAGTTTGTCTTCGATGGCTGTGGCCCCAAGGAGCTGAAACAGGAAGCAAGATGGGTAACTGTGCATAACAGTTTGAAATCTGGCCGTAAACTCCATAATTCAGTTAAAAAAAATCAGTTTTTTTAAAAAAAATCAAGACTTTTGCATTCATCATTTATCGATGACACTTATGAAACCCTTTTCTGCCCTAATGCAATTGTATTGCGATTGTTTTGATTTGATGTTTTATTTGTTCGATTGGAAAATTTGTGTGTGGTGTTTCTACAGAACCACTCGAGGCCGTGCACAAGGTTAAAACAAATGCAGCCACAAAATGATAAAAGCAAGCATTAAAATCATCAGCATTAAAACCAGCAATAAAACAAGTAAAAGGCCTGCACTGACATAAAAACACATTTTAAGAAATATTCATTAAAGAGCCCCATGCTAGAAGCAGGCCACAGAAATAGCACATCTCAGTTCAAAGCATAGGGAGAGAGACATTATTTGGCCCGGTGTCTAAAAGACAGCAAAGTAAATGCCAAGTGAGCTTTAAGGGGAAGGGGCTTTCCCAAGGTGACGTGCCACCACTGAAAAAGCCCTGTCTGCATCCCCACTTTTCTCTTGCATCCAAACTTCTTCCTGGCTTCTGAAGCAGGAAAAGGTGAAGCTTCCCTCTTTTGTTTCTTCTCACATCCATTTATGTTTTTGTAGACAGTTTCAGTTCTCCGCTTGCCGTTGGTGGTTTCATCCATCTCCTTGTATTGTTTATGCAGACTGTAATTTTTCATGTGCCATTTATAGGGGGTTTAAATGGGCAATATACATCATTTATATATACAAATTGCCGCAGCACGGATCAAAAAACCCACAAAATAAGGCCAATCCTAGCTACAGTTCAAAGTTCTGCAAACACAGGGGAATCTCAGTTAGAAGGGGGGGAAATGTTAAAAGATATTAGGAATAAAGGTAAAGGTTCCCTTGCTCGAAAGCCAGTCAAATCCGACTCTGGGGTTGCGGTGCTCATCTCCGTTTCCAAGCCGAAGAGCCAGCGCTGTCCGAAGACGTTTCCATGGTCAAGTGGCCGGCATGACCAAGCGCCAAGGCGCACGGAACACTGTTACCTTCCCACCGAAGCGGTACCTATTTACTTGCAATTTCTTGCTTTCGAACTGCTAGGTTGGCAGGAGTTGGGACCAGAGACGGGAGCTCACTCCGTCATGCTGCACTTGGGTCTCGAACTGCTGAACTACCGACCTTCCAGCCTGCAGTTCAGCGTCTTAACCACTTGAGCCACTGCAGCTCCCTTAGGAGTAATGCCCCCCCAAATATTAGGGGAAAAGGTCAGGTGAGACTCTAAGCACTGCATCACCTGGTGTGGCATAGTGGTTAGAGTGCTGTGCTAAGACTGGGGAGAACCGGGTTTGAATCCTAGTTTTATCATGGAAGCCCACCGTCTGACTCTGGGCCCGTCACAGCCCTTCAGCCTAACCTACTTCACAAGGTTTTCCTGGGAAAGGACAAGGGTTGCCAACCCCCCCGGTTTGCCAGGGGTCCCCCGTTTGGGGGTCCCTGCCCCCAACATCCACAGCCACCCCTCTCCCTTCTCTCTTGAGAGAGAGGGGTGGCTGCCTTTAAGTTCATGGAACCCGCGTTTCCTCCCAAGCCCAATCTCCACTCGAGATCAGGCTTGCAGGGAAATGCCAGCTCCGTGCACTTAAAAGGGAAACGCCGGCTCTTTGCTCTTAAAGGGGAAACGCCGGCTCCGTGTACTTAAAAGGGAAATGCCGGCTCCTTTAAGTGCAG